CTGAGGATCAAACCCAGGGCATGAACATGCTAGAAAATGCTCTACAATTGAGCCATACCCCCAACCCAGGGAAGTCTTCCTGATGCACCTTGAACAGGGGCTTCGAGAGCCACTTACTTGCCACTCCCCTCTCAGTCTTCCAAGTCTCCTTAGAGAATATCCAAAGTAGGTACAATGAATGCCTGTGTAGGCTTCCACTGTGTCAGTCAGTCCTAACCCAGCAAAGGCAAGATCACAGACAGAATTCACCTCCTTCCCCCATTCAGATGAATAAGAGAGGAGCTAACCTCAGTGCAGCTAGGGAAAGCCTGCAGAGGAGTAACTGGGACAATGGAACAATAGCTACCCCCAACTTTCCTATGTAGCCACTCCCCTCTACTGTGTGGAAAACCGAGTGCAGAAACTTGAAGCTTGGGAGGGGATAAGGAGAGTGTACTTTGAAGAAGAAACCTTGAATTGGGGGTCAGGTACTTCAGATTTATATGAATCCTTGGGAAAATCCCTTTCCATGTTCTGGACCTCAGTCCCCATCTAGAAATGGGAGATTGGGCCAGAGGATCCATATGGCTCAGGTTGCCCTAAGAGACTGGAGGAGAATGGTACTGTGTTAAATTTTCTAGTGGCTTCTGAGTCAGGAGGCATGATGGGGGCCACTAGGTTGACTTTGGAGGGTCTGAGGGCGTACTAGGATGCCTAGATACTTATCGGCTGAGCCCACTCCACCACTGGAAGACAGAGGTGCACTGTGGCCCAGCCTCACTCCTCACACTAGCCCTAACATTTTACTCTTTCAAAATGCAGTAGGCTTGCCTTGTATTCCCAATATATCCAGAAAGAAGGAGAACTTGAATTGGCCTGGCCCAGCCCTCTCAGCAGGGAGGGCTGAGCATAGGAGGAGAGAAGGCTAAGGAGTATTGTTTGGAAGCCCAACAGGGGAAAAAACCCTGTAGGAGATAAAAGCAATGAAGGCTCCACAACAAGAAATGAAGATCAAAGTGTCACAAAGACCCCTATAGCACCAGTATGTCTGCCTCTGATCATACCAGGCTCCCTACGGCTATTTTCTCATTGTCCATATTTTCCCTTAATCCCCAAAGGAGAAGTAAGGGAGCAATGCACCCTCAATTCAGCTGGCACCTGCACTTCTACAGGGTTCTGGTTTACCTGCCTGCCTTGCTGGAGATATGCTTACACATGTATAGGTTTGAAAAAAAAGACAAGCAGTAGAGATGAAAGACTCTGTGATTATTTAATTCAGAGAACAGAAGTTGGGGGGAAGAGGTTTAGTGCCTGTGAAATCTCCAAGGGATTGTTAAGCAGAAGAGCAAGGGTAGGCAGCTGCATTCAACTCCACCTCCCAACACACACACACACACACATATATGCATGCAAGGTTTAACTTGTAGCATGAATGAGCCAGGAATGAGTGACAAAGGAAGACTAGGAAATACCTTCTCTGGAGGTTTAACCTTTATCATCTAGTTTATTATCTCTGCCTACACAGGATTTGAAGCAAAGAAATTGCTAGAATAACATCAGGCGTACCCTCTTCTACTCTCAGGTAGCCAATCTATTAAATGAGGAAGCTGGAAACCCCTTCTCCTCTTTTTGGTTCTTCAAGGAAGCTGTGGCCTTCCAGTCTTGCTGCTATTCCTCTCATTCCCAATGGGCTGTTTCCCCAATACACACTTTCTGAAAGTGTAAATATAACTGTTCTTGAGGAATTTTTAACACTTCCACTATACTTAGGTGGCAATCATTAGATGGTCAACTTTTTACAACTCACTCACCTCCTTCTGAAATTTTCAGCCCCCAACAGGCTGCAGAGTAAGACCATGAAGCAAAAAAGACATGAAAGGGGTGATGGGTTCCCCAGATGCAGCTCCCAAGTTAACTCAGCTCACTTTCACTCTTGGAGAATGGAAAAGGTGAGAGGAGGGAGTGGCTATTGAGAGCTGCATTGAGTGGAGGCCACTTGAGACCATGGAACACAACTTACGAGTCACTACACAGGAGGCAATAGCAAATCCATAAATAACAGTGGCCTTAAGAAAGGTCCTGTTGCTTTTGAAGGCTCAGGATTCCCATCCATAAACACAGGATTTGGAACTGGTGCTCTACAAAGGCCTGCTTAGCTGAGAGGAAGGGCCTCTTCAGAAACCTGGAGGAGACTTTTCAGCCCCCACCACATGAGTATTTAAGTCCAGGTTCCCCCATTTGCCTCAGCAAGGGAAACTGAGGCAGAGAGCCTGATATACTGAAACTTCTCTCTGGAGATAACCTACCCCCACCTCTATTTCCAAATCTAGGGGTGGCCTCTTACCTACCTGACTTGAAGCATGTTTCCAATTCCTTACTAAGAGCCCATTTTAAAACCTTTTCAAAAATCCTCTTTTTTCACAGCATATTTATACACAAAAAAATACCAGCCCCCAGCCCCCACTATTCAATGTCCCCTTTCTCCAAAAGGATTGGTTCACCATTCCACCACCTGGCCCCAACCTCTTCTCTACCTCTGAGCCACACTATCTCAACCAAACTCACCTCACTCACCCCGCCTGCCAGCCACCCCCTCCCATTTCTAATTTTGCTTACCCCTTTCTTACCAAACTCCTCTACTTTCTGTCAGCTTCCCAGATTGATACCCCTGAATATACAGATCTCTCAATTCTCTCCATGGCAGTTTGCCTCTAGGCTCAGGAATCAGCAACCAAAGGTATGCGAAGTCGAGGGTCTGACCAGTCCAGACCTTGAGATTGTTGTTGAAGGGACATATCATGATTTTTTTAATTATAGTTGCAACCCAACCCCCTTCTCCACCCACATTAGGCATACTCAGCAAATATCTGAGCCTTGAGAACCATTTCACAAGTCACTTTCTTTTGATCAGGGCAAGCACAAGTTGGAAGGGTAAAGGTCTTCTCAAAAACTCTACAAAGATAGTAAGTCCTTCTGGAGCATTCATTAACTGCTAGGTATTGAGAGGGTTGTGGTTGAAGTTAGGTTTTACTTACTTTTCTGAGGGGTTCTGAGAGAACCCAGACATTCAAGTTATCAGGAAGACAAGGCAGAGGAAGGGAAACTTAATTATAGTCTGCCTCCTATTATAATTTAAGCCCAAAAATGCCCATGAGAGGCAAGCAGCCCTAGAAGAGTTCTGAGACAGAGAGGTCATCATGCGTAGCAAATGGCTGGCAGGAAAGGCACCATGAAGAAGGTAGGCTGAAAACTGGGGCCTGAGAAGGAAGAGGATTTGGACAGGCATAAGTGCAGTGGGTCTGAGTATGTGGAAAGAAAACAGAGTAGGTACATTAGGTGGCATTGTATTTAGGCCAAGGAAGAGGGCAGATCCAGCCCTGGGCTAGAGATGCCCAGCTGCAAGTAGAGGTTTACCTTGTGGCCTGGTCAATGTAGGAGGTGACTGTAATGTTGTAGTGTGGTAACTGCAGTCTTGGCTGGTATCAAAAAGATCCCAAGCTAGCTTTCCTCCAATTAAGAGATTTGCTGAGTCTTATTGTTCCACCTCAAAGGTGCTCAGGCTTTGCCTGGGCCTTGCAACTCACAGAGCTCTCCACTCTCATAGATTGATCAAAGGTCTAAGAAGAGCCAGCCAAGCCCCTCGGTCACTCCCTCTCTCCAGTTCCTCAGGAAGGCCTGGACAGCCCACTGCCAGAGGCGCAGGGCGGTGCAGTGGGTGGGGCCCAACGGGGGTGGGGGGAAGCTACACTGGGAGGGTGGTGGGGTTAGGCCGGAATCTCGGGGTTGGGGCGGTGAGTCCAACAGCGCAGTGCCCTCCGCCCTGCCCATGCCCACGCTGCTGCGGGCAGAGCCGCAGAGGGAGGTGTTTGCCTGCGGGACAAGGCAGCCTTGACCCCACGGCCCAAGCCAAGGCTAGCCTGGCCAAAGGGATGACGGCTCTGTGAGACTAGTCCAGCTGCTGCCTGGGGCCTCCTGCTGTGGCGAGTCTGGCCTGTTGAGACCCTAACCACGGCGGGGGGGCAGTGTCAGAAGTGTCTGCAGCAGACAATGACGGCAGCCTGGCGGGCTGGGTATTTTAAGTAACTGAGAAGTTGTTGGGTTTGGCTGTCTCACCAGCACTCTCACATACACACAGACGGTGCGTTCCTTATTATTCCCTCAGCCTCTGGCATGGAAATCCTCCCACAACATCGTGCCTATTGCTATTTTTAAATGGGAGTCTGGAGAGAAAAACGGGGCCAGTGCCCTCCAAGGGGAAAAGAGGAGATGAGGGGTAGAGAGAAGACAAAGCGGCCTTGCAGCTCTAACCTAAGGACCAGCAAGAGCCCTGCTATCCGCCCGCCTACCGGCGGGGGTGGAAGCCAGACGCGCCTAGAGGCCCAGGAGGAGGGGATGAGGCTGGTTGAGGCCATAGGGCCAAGGTTCCAAGGGGAAGCAGGAATCCACAAGCCCATTGAGCTCCTTTGTGGTACGCCACAGTGTGAATATCCTAATTCACGATAAAGCCAGTCTCTGTTCTGGCCCAAGCTAGCACGCGGGCTTAGTCTGCAGAGAGGAAGAGCTGGAGATGCGCAGCAGAGGGGAGGGGCCGCAACAGGGCCGCAGGGAACCGTACTCGCGTAACACAGCTGTTCCAGCAAATGTACGACAACAAAGCTGCAGAGCTCCTAGCCTACAAATGCATGGCTTGGGGTGCAGGCTAGCGGTGCCCCTCCCGGAACTGCGCGGCAGCACGTGTGGGCCCATCTCTGCCTGCCCTTAGAACCCAAGAAGCATAGCCCAAGCAAGCCCGCCAGCTTTTCCCACCCCACCTCCGGCCGTGGTCGCCTGAGCCCAGTGGACTCACGGCCGCTCGGTCCCTCAGTGGGCAGTCCGCAAAGCGGATTCCAAGAAAGAGAAAGCACCCAACAGCCCGGACTGGCCCAACCCTTAGTGCCCTCCTCCGAGCGACCAGAGCTGAGCACGCGGGAATGCACCCTACCGCCGGCAGGAGGAGGATCCAGGCTGTGCGCAAAGCTTACCCGGCCAGTCCGGCTTCCAGCCCAGTTATTGTCTGCTTGCACTGTCGCGACCAGGGCTGGAGCCTCGATTGCGGCAGAGAACGCCGCCACCACTATTTCTGCCGCCGCCGCCACCGCCGCTACAGTCACCTCCTGCACTGACTCCCTTTCCCCAGGCTCCGGGGAGCTCCCCCATACCCCCTTTCCCCGAACTCCACGGCTACAGGGTGGGGCGTCCGTAGTTTGATTGGCAGGCATCTGACTCAATCACTATGGTGGGAAGGCGTGCCTCGGCCCGCCCACTGTTTTCCTTGGTGTGTTTCTCTTTAAATGCAAATAAGCGCGGGCGTGGTGTAAGCAGGAGGCGGAGAGTGTGCGGAACGCCTTGCTGGGGCTCCACACTCCCGCCCCTACGCAGGGCGGGTTGCAGCGTGGCTCACCGCCGGCGTAAGGAGCTGGTCCCGCCCAGATGGTGTCGCCAGATCCCTGGAACTCGGTTTCGATTTTGCCCGCACTCCCATTTTCATGGTCTCTGTGCTTTAGCGCGACTGCTCACTGGCAGTTTATCCCTAGAGGCAGAGGCTTGCGGGGAGAAGCTGGGCAGAGAGGTTGGGAGGCCTGGAGGAACTGCAGAGCCTCTTGGCTGGCCCATCCTTAGGGATAGAGGCAGGACCCAGCAAAGAGGAAGGAATCACCTGCCAGGAAAGCCAGCTGTAACGCCCGCGCCCCAGCTGCTTCTGCCTCTAATGTACCAGGGTCCTTAGAGATGGCATCACAGAGGCCAACCCTCCCAATACCGACGGGCCCACTGCTGCCCAGACACGGGAAGGCTCTTCAAGGTTATTCAACTTGCCAGCAACTGAGGCAGATTTGGAATCCAGAGTCCCGGGTTCCAGGACAGCTTTCACTTTTCTTCTCTGGGAAAATACCCGATTCCAGAGTTAGAGCCTCACCCAAATTTCTCATTTTCCATAGAATATGGAGGGGAACTCCCCAGGTCTCCGGAGCGCCCCCTACCTTTAATTGCGAGCCTGGCTTTGTGCAGACCCCTTTCCCAGGAAACTCTAGATATTGAGAGAAAAATCTTGTCTGGGCCCTAACCAGAGGTCAGGCTGAGGACAGAGGAGGCCTGTGGGACCGGCCTTGCTCACTACTGTGTCTGGAAGGTGGCAGAGGACCAACTGAGTCTAGCCTGAAGACATTAAGTGACACTAGTGACTGCTGGGGTCAGGTGAGCTGAGACAACAAAGAATCCAGTTCTACCACTAGCTCAAGAATGTCCAGAAATTCCAGCCCTAAAACTTTGTGAATGCCTATAAGGGGAGGGGAGTGAATTAGAGAACAATGAGAGCTGTGTTTTTTCATTGGAGGAGTATTCTTTGTTGCTTTACTGTGTCCTGTCTGCCTTGAAAAGATCCAGCTGCTGAACTGGTAAGAAGGTGGATTGCTGCCTCTGCTGTGTGGCACAGGAACTGACATGGCTGCTGGGGTTGGGATCTGCTTTCAACTCTGCCTTAGACTTGCTGTGAAACCTTGGCCAATCCGTTTTCCTCCCTGAGCCAACCTATCTATAATCTCATCTTCACAAAGAAGGAGTAAGTTCTATCAGTTCAACTCAATACTTTCTATAATATTCCACCATGTTCCATAACTTATGTGGTATTCTAAGATGTCTACCAACAAAAATCAACATTGAACATCAGACCCCCATCCTAGTCCTGGATCTAAATAAATGGTGGGGAATGGGAAGCTGCTGTTGGCTCATTTTGCAACATTGTTGGGCAAGTCCCTTCTCCCTATCCTGTTTCCCTCCCTGAATGGCTGAACTAGAATGTTTCCCTGGGGCTGTGCTTTCCCAGTTCTCATTTGTTGGGCCTAATCTTGAAGCATCTTTTCTTGCATTTCCCTCATAGGCTTCTCTGCTGCCCTTGTGGCTCTGGTCACTTGCCATCTGCTTACATTTCACCCAGAACCTTGATTTTCTGAATTAGACCAATATTATAATTTGGAAATGACAGTTTCCAAATCTGGAGTTCAGGGAAACAAAGGGCCAGCGCAGTCTCAGCTTTGGGAAGAGGGATGTGCAATTAGTGAGGTGGTGGGCTTGAAATAGACCTGAACATTGTTATGTTACTGCTATCACCAGAGCTAGCCCTCTAAGCCTTTTGCTCAGCCACCAAATATTCTGCCATATCAGTCAGCTTTGGGAATGATGGACATTGAGTTAAGCCTAAAAGAAATAAGGCTTCAGAAAAATAACAGTAGTCTTTGAAATGCTAAAAGAAGCCTCCATCCTTCTTTGTGGTCCTAAAATTTCTGAGTCTGAGGAGATTGTGTTGTGTGTTTGTGTGTGTGTGTCTGTGTGTTTCTTCCCCACTAAGGACAATGAACTTGAGAGGGAGTGGTACAGCTCCTTAAGCGTATGGCCCTATCCTCCTCGGGTGATCTGTGGAAAGACCAAGTGTGTACCTAAACTTGTACCTCAAAATGCTTCCTCTCAGAGGGTTCCTGCAAGACCACTGTCCCACATCCTGATTAAAATGTGATCAAATTATTTGTTAAGGACAGGAGGTAATAATGAGCAGAAATACTTTCCCATCTTGTTTCTTTTTTTAAATTTTTTATTTAAGTTTCTTTACCTGCAAAATGGAGACAATTTTCCCAGCATCTTGTAGCTGCAGTGAAAAGCTGATGAGGACAGATATGTGAGCTATGTGGAGACACTCCATAAACATAGTTAGACAAATTGAACCACATTATTACAATGTCAATTCTTTCTTTACCAAATGTCCATGACTCTATCCTAGGCCTGGTGATATGTATCAAGAAGAGGGGTACAGATCTACCATTTGATCCAGCAATACCACTCTTGGGGATATACCCAAAAGACTGTTACTCCAGAGGCATCTGCACATCCATGTTTATTGCGGCATTATTCACAATAGCCAAGTTATGGAAACAGCCAAGATGCCCCACCGATGATGAATGGATTAAGAAAATGTGGGATCTATACACAATGGAATTTTATGCAGCCATGAAGAAGAATGAAATGTTATCATTCACTGGTAAATGGATGGAATTGGAGAACATCATTCTGAGTGAGGTTAGCCTGGCTCAAAAAACCAAAAATCGTATGTTCTCCCTCATATGTGGACATTAGATCAAGGGCAAACACAACAAGGGGATTGGACTATGAGCACATGATAAAAGCGATACTAAAGCAGATACCTTAAAGCAACTGAGGCCAATAGGAAAAGGGGAACAAGTACTAGAGAAAAGGTTAGATCAAAAAGAATTAACCTAGAAGGTAACACCCACGCACAGGAAATCAATGTGAGTCAATGCCCTGTGTAGCTATCCTTATCTCAACCAGCAAAACCCCTTGTTCCTTCCTATTATTGCTTATACTCTCTCTACAACAAAATTAGAAATAAGGGCAAAATAGTTTCTGCTGGGTATTGAGGGGGGGAGAGGGAGGGGGCGGAGTGGGTGGTAAGGGAGGGTGGGGGCAGGGGGGAGAAATGAACCAAGCCTTGTATGCACATATGAATAATAAAAGAAAAATGAAAAAAAAAAAAGAAGAGGGGTACAACGATAACCTTCTCGGGGGACCTGTTCTGAGAGGAGCTGAAAACTCAACCACAGGTCTGGCCAAGGTTCTCTAGAGCATTGTAGATATAAAGAGATTTCTTCTCCCCAGGATGGGCAGGCGCGTCAGAGAAAAGCTCTATAGAAGACGGCCTTGATGATTTAGTTCCTGCACCAGCCAAAGCCCATCAGTGTGAGAGGGTATGATGGTTTGGACAGGAACTAGGATTCTCACTGGGTACCAGTGGATCATGCCTGTAATCTTAGGAAAACTGAGATTGGGAGGATCATGGTTCAAGGGCGGCCTGGGTACATAGTCCACAAGACGCCATCTCCAAAATAACCAGAGAAAAATGGACTGGAGGCATGGCTCAGGCAATAGAGTGCCTGCTTTGCAAGCGTGAAGCCCTGAGTTCAAACCCCAGTTCCATCCCCCTCAAAAAAAAAGCTACAATTATGGTTGGCTGTAGTTACTTGTACAGTGGGGAGAGGAAGAGCTGGAAATTAGATTAGAAAGATAAATCTGAGACCAAATTGTAAAAGACCTTCAATTCCTGGGTAAATTGAGATTCAACCAGCTAATTTCATCCTTCCCATGGAAGTAGTATAATCCAATAGCTCTGCACCAGTCTGCCTGGGATGCCAGCCCTACCACTTAAGAAGAGTGTGGTCTTAGGTAGGTTAAGGAAGATTGCAATAGTACCCATGTCACATACCATGAAGTTATGGGACCAATAAGTGAGTATACCATGTAAAGTGCCACAGAACCTGATACATGCAAAGCTCTCAAATTATTATTATTAATTGTTATTAATCTTTTAATCCAATGTAGAGATCTTCAAAATTGTAGAACTTATACTATTTCTTTGAAATTACTTTTTAATATAAGCACACATGAGCCTGGAATTCCTTACATACAAATTCCTTTTGATTGTCCAGACCCAGGTTGCATTTCTCAGGGCAGTCTCTTGTTCATCCTTATATTCTCTGAGTCCAACAGAGAGTTTAGCACAGACTTAGCACTGAGTATATGTTTTGCTGAACATAGTCAAGTAATACATTTTCAGGCCTAATATCAAGTTTAGGTGCCAGCATTCATCAGTTAAGTGTGATGTTGCCACTCACCAAGATCCTGCTCTGTGCCACATCCTGCATTAAGTGCCACATTCATCATCCAGAATGATGAACTAGGCACAGCTTCTGTGCTCAAGAGAAACCAGTCTAGTAGAGGAGGAATGTGACTCATACACTGCAGTTTCTGACTTGGACAAGAGACTACCAGATGGTATTGCCATCCATTGAATTGAGGACTATAGGAACTGGATTAAGAAAACCTAATGATTCCTTTGGGACATTTTTTAGTTTGACATGCCAGAAATTCCATCTTAGGAGCTAGAGATAGCTCAGTGGTAGAGTACTTGCCTAGCATGTGCAAGGCCCTGGGTTCTATCCCAGCACTTCAAATAATAAATAAATAGTTAAGATGGTAAATTTGAACCGGATATGGTGGCATACACCTGTAAC